CAGCAGGAGCTGTTAACTGACTATTGCACCCAGTCTTCCAAGCCCTGCCTATTTATAAATCACTCATTGACCATAAATAGCCAATTTTTCATATTTCTAAAAGCAGTGCAGACCATCTTGAAAAGCTGTGTCAGCACGTGTGGGATGGGGTCTGCTTATGAGGTAACTCACTCTGTTCATACTGCTGCTCGTTTCCCAGCACAGGTAAACTTCAGTTTAGTGAATTTATCTACTTTTATATCACTGGCTCCATTTTAACTATCCATACTACTGCCCCTTTGGTCTGTTTTGTCAGTGGGTGGCAGCTGTGGCCTGCAGCCCAATTGATTGAATCTAGATCTCTAATCTGAAATGGGCTTGCACCCTGTAGCTGTCTATTTTTCTTTGCTGGTAATAAACAGAGAAGACATTGGTCAATGGCTCACATTACAATACTCAGTAAATGAAATTAATTTCAGAAGTGTATCTGAACAAGGATGAAATGTTACAGATGGCTTCATCAAATTAAACAAATAAACAATGCTTTTGTGTGTCTTCTAGTATTGAACTGAAGAGGCATAGAGGAATGGATGGAGTCTAGATCACAAAAGTGGTTGCTCTGGGGTGGAGAGGTGGTTTATAGCCTTGTTTTTTTGCCCTTCTGGCAGAGTTGGAGCACCATTTGCAGTCCTAGCATAGCACCTGAGCTTCTCACCAAGTGTGAGATGGCACGTGGGGGATGAGAGTGCTGAGAAAGACAGCTAAGCTCAGTAGGTCAAATTAACCAAGAGAAAAAGCTGTAGAGCTTCCCACACTCTTCCCTGAATACACACCACAGGTACAGAATCAAACAAGCATAGAAAGGGGTGAAGCAGTGTTGAACAAGGTCAGGTGGTGGGACTAACAGAGGGGTTCTGGGATTGTGCTGCTCCCTACTATGGCAGAGCACTAGCTGAATGTGCCCTGTGTATTCTGCCAAGTTAGAAATCATCATAAGCAAATGCTAAAAGTCCTTGGAGCTGGAACAGATATTTGCAGAGGCACCTGTCCCACTTGCTATGGATTTTTAATTTTTCTGAGTTGGTAAGTGCATTGCATCTAAAAAGAACTTTCAAGTTTGAATTTAACAAAAAATTTCAAGTAATACAAGCCAGTTCCTGAGCTGGGAGCCAGGAGAGAGTTGGAACTGGTTTTACCACAGAGTCTCCTTTGCACAGAATCCTGTAAGTCTCCAGAGCATTTCCAGATCTCTTGAAAAAGCTCTGGTCTGTAGGAGACCTTTATGACTTTGTATTTTAGGAAAACTGGTCATCAGGAGGACAGAACCAGGAAATTTTAGTAATCTGAACGTAGGCAACTGCCGTTGGCTAGGAAGGGATATAAACATATTCCCCTGCAACAGTCTGAACCTACTAACGAAGCTAATAGGCTACAATCAATCTCTTAAATACCAGTTTGCAAAGTCACAGCAAATCTTGGTTTATTAGCTCAAAATTCAGTGCATTTTTTGTGCCTTTGCCTTCTCTACTAGGTATGTTTTCACATGGAGAAGCTCCTGGTGCTAGTGTGTAATTTCAATTAATAAGCTGTACAATTTAATCTGTGTATCTTTTGTATAGCTGATGGGTCTGCAATCATGGGAGAATAAGTGTTAACTCATTTAGTGGAGTGAAAATGAGTAAAGCTGGTATTTCACATTCACTTTTTTGAAAGACACCAGTTTAAAGTTATTGAAAGTGTAGGCTAGGTTATGTGCTACAGTTCCTATAGAGATCTACATGAACTTTTGAAGAAAAAATAAAAAAAAAAAATCCATCTAAAACACAAACCCCAAACCAGACAACCTCAAAATGGATCTCTTAACTAATGCTTAATTTTACAGTCATTACATTTTAATAGACCAATACAAGATTTTCACAGCCACTGTGAGTACTATGAATTAATATATTAAATAGCTATCAAGCTGTGAATGGGGGAGGTGCTGGGCATGGGGTGGGAAATACAATAAAACAAAAGTTTAATGGAAAGGCTTTTTTTCTTTCTTTCTAGTTTCACGACACCAGAAGGCCCAGGCCCCCTTTCCCGGTGTTCAGACTGGGGAACTGCAGTGGAGGAGGATGAAATGAGGACCAGTGTGAACAAAGAAATGGCAAGGTACCCATGGGTGTTTAAGATCAAGTAGGGAAA